CCCTTACTTTCACCCCTGGTTGTTTCCTGTTGAACTGAGAGAACAAACAGATCTGAGATCAGATCTGCTGCTGCCACAGTTTGATGAATGAGGACCACTGTCTCTAGACATGTTGGACGGCTGGACGCTGGAGTCCAGCTGGAAGTCCTGGAGACATGGACACAGCAACAACACTCATCTTCACACCAACACAAACACAGGAACACAGCAAGCTGCTGCTCCTCTGATTGGCTGATTGCTGTCTCTGTGTCCAATCAGGAAGCCTGAACCATTCTCCTCCCACTGAGAAGCTGCAGCTTTACTGGGAACACTGGAGCTTTGCTTTGATGCTAACTGGGTTTAGTTCAATATGCTGACAGCAGCTGGACTCACTACAAACATTTACTTACTTTAGATAATCTACAAGATCCTTCAGCTGCTGAACATTTGAATCCTTCACGCTGTTTAGCTTTTTGTATTCAGATGAACAAAGAATCAAATTATTTTGTAAGTTTAATCTTTTAGTTTGACAGCTTTATTTGGCAAAACAAACATCCTGTGAAGTTGAGCTGAGCATTTTTTAAACTTCTAAGTAAGGCAGCTTTTTATTTTTACATTATTCAGACTGAATATGTTTAAATAAAATACATAAGATCCATTGAATTAATAAACACTGTTGTTTTTCCTTTTAGTTTCTTGGTTAAACTGCTTCAACGGCACTGATACGTTCCAGTGTTTTATTTTGAAAGACCTCACAGGAAGCGTATTTATATTTTTTCAGCATTATCATACTTGTAGTTATCACTTTCAGACATCAGAGGGCATAAACTCGTTGCTCTGAATGATGAGTCTGAATCGCTGTTTCTAAATGGTTTCTCGCTTCACACTTAGCAGGTTAACTGGTTCTAAGTGAGACAATTGAAAGCAGATTCTTCGCCTGTGTTCACTAAAATGTTTTATGTCAGTGTGAACTAAAAGCAGCTCCACAGAGATGAAAATAACCCGCAGAAACTCTGTGAGGATCTAGCGATGCTAACAGACTCCAGGAGCAACTTCAGTGGTTTGTGGCTCCTAAACTTGAGCTTCAGCTCCAATAGAGCTGAAACAAAGCTCTACAACTCTGCTTTAGACGCTCAGATGTTGAGCTTCCGGTCTGAAGGTAGGAGAATATTTATGAAATGTTAAATTATCCTGGAAACAGAATGATGTTGATAGTTTTACTGTGGAGCGGAGAACTGAAATTAGCAGGGCGGTTATTGCCCTCTAGTGGACCCAGATGGCAACTACAACAACTTGATCAAGTTAGAGCCACATTTATAGCACATTTACTTCCGGTGAGTACTTTCACATTAAGAGCGAAAGAAACGAGTTCCCCTGCTACCTTTCATATGAAATAATACATACTACTTTTGTTATTTCCTCTCTGAAACAATAAATTTTTATTCAAAAGCGGCAAATTAAACTTTCCTAATTTCAATCTGAAATTAGATTTAAATAAAAATATTTTTTATAATACTTCCATAAAAGTATTTAAGAACATTAAGAGGAATCCCATCTGTGACCCGCTTCCCTCTCTGACCCGGTTCCCTCTCTCACTCTGACATCATGTCTGCTCTGTTGGACTCGCTTGTCTTCATGAAATCAGTTCCTTCGTTCAGAGACTCAAACTGAAATGTTCTTTAGTGAAGAAGAAGCTTCATCTGGATCTGATGTTGAAGCTGCAGCTTGAATCCGTCTCAGGATTCGGTTCAGAATCCAGTCACTGATCAGCATCACCACGTTCTGGAGATAAATATCTCCAGAACGTGGCCTACCTCTACCTGTGCAGGCTGAAGGAGGCTAAGAGGTCAGTGAGCAGAACCAGAACTGGACCTGGTGCTGCCATGTTGATGTATGAACCTGGTGCATTCTGGGAGTTGAGATGGATCAGATGATGAACCTGAAACCAGATCAGGGCGGCTGTTAAATCCAGCTCTGTTCATTTCAGGTTGACTCTCTAAACTCGTGCGTTTCTCTTGTAGCTGCAGGTCGTTTCTATGTTGACGTCACTTTGTTGACCTGTAAATATTTCATAGAGCTTCATGAATGAAGCTGCTTTGGTCGCTTTGCCTCACCGTGTTTCTCTGAGAGTCGGGAACAGAGAAAATGCAGAGCCACTTCCTCTGAAAGAGTCTCCACTTCCTGCTGGGACTGCAGAGAATGGAGATGGAGCAGCAGGAAAGGCGGCCATCTTGGTTTCCTGCTCTTCTTTAAGCGACGCTGAGTTTATTTATGCTGCTCCTTTGGTTTAGTGAAGAGAGATCACTGGTCACGTAGTTCTGGACCAGCTGGAAGTGGTCCAGAACAACGGACCACTTCCGTTGGGGAAACTGGGGAAACTGGGGCTGACCACTCTGACCTTTGACCCCTTGGACAACATTCTGGGTTTTTGTCCTCTTCCTCAGGTCTTTCCCCAATCTAGCAGCAACAAGCTAGCTCTGCTCTGACCATAAACAAACTGAAGGGACCTTGACTTGTTGTTCTGCACTTTAAAATAATAATTTGTTTTTATTGCGTTTTTTCTGGATTTAATTTACTTGTTTAATTTATCTGTAGAAGAAAATGTCTGAAACTCTTTGGGAGTTGTAAGAAGTTGTAAACATGGAAAAGTTATAATGATGGAAAGTTGATCTAAGCTGTATTGATAATTAATAATAAGTTATAATTGTAAACAGTCAGATGATTTTTGATAACTAGTGAATTGAATGCTTCAAATTTAATGAATTAATATTTAACAATGATATTAATAGTTGGGAAGAAATGTGATGTACAAAGTAATTCTCTGTTATTTAAATTATGTTTTGGTTGTAAATGTATAAAACGTATTAATCAGTTAGATAAGGAACAGAAGTATTGTGAGGAAAGAGGAAGTTGTTGTGGACACAGAGTTCAGACGGCTGCAGGGAGAATCTGTCACAAGAGTTTCAACGGCAAAAAGAGGAATCTTCCAGTAAAGAGGGGAGACCTTATTGCCCAAAACCGCGTAAAGCAGAAGCTCTTGATGATAATTGGGGTTGTGCCTCAGGGACAGTCTTTGTGTTCTCATGGGGAGAAGAGATGGTGGCGACCTACAGGGTTTGGAGAGAAGAACTGATGAGGCCGACCCACCAGCCAAAGGCTGAGGGTTCAGAATCTGGATTTACTCTCCAGGCTGCTGCTTCACATTGAGGTTTTCTTTTTGTTGGAGCCCAGAACTTTATCAGGTTTTGTCAAGAACAAATTGAAATTTTTTTATTTGGTTTTTGGGGCAACGTCTGTCCACTGGGGAAAATCTGATTTTTGCCAAGTAATTTACACAAAGACTAAACGGATGAACCCAGGAAAGGGATTTCTATGTGGTGTGGGCCTCTCTTTCTCCGTCTGCTTGCATTTAAAAAGTTCACTCAGCCACAATTTTAGGTAAGATAATTAAACATGATTCAAAGATTCAAAGAATTTTACAACTTTTTAATTTTTTTCTGTTTTGCTGGATTTCCTACTGTGTGCTTTACCTGCTATGATCTGCAAAATAAAGCAGTAGAAATCTGACTGGAAGTTGTGGAATGTGGAGTTCAACCAGATCTCCAGGTCCCAACCAGGTTTTCTGCTGCATCACAACTGAAACTAACTTTGTTCTCCTTCAGATCAGCCTCCATTTTGAGCCACAGGATGGAAATAATGTGTTGTCCGTAAGTGTGAGTGTGTGTGTACATGGTTGTTTGTCCTGTCTGTCTCTTTGTTGCCCTGGCGACCAGCCCATGGTGACCCCCTCGCAACCCCAATGGGATAAGGGTGTAAGAAAATGGATGGATGGATGAAGTAATGATAGAAATATTGAACAAACTATAAACCCACAGCTCAGTTTCTGCACAGTTAACCTGATGAATGATCAGCTGTGATCCACCATGACAGCAGCATCTAAAGCTGATCTGTTGGTGTGGAGCAAGAATGAACTTCCCAGATTTAACCTAAATAAACTGATAACTTAATGTAACTTTTTTACAGTGCATCATTGTTCTTGCTGCAGCAACACTCTCTGGGGTTTTAACCTAAAAACCAGAACAAAAACATTAAAAACTAGTTTTGATCTGCTTATTGAAATCAGCAGGAAGTGAATCACATCTTTTTTTGGACCCATTTCTGTCTTTAATAAAGCTGATGATGATGCTGACAATGATGATGATGAAGACAATGATGATGATGATAATGATGACATCACTCCGTCCCTCATCAGTCTGGGTTCATCAGAAACTGATGTTTTTCTTGTCTGTGGATCAGAACCGGCTTTAACCAGTCCACAGATTTCCTCTCTTCCTCCTCACTGAGTTTCGTCTTTTTCCAGGTTTTCCTCTTGTTGCTCCTCACAGCAGGAAGAAACTCTTTGTCTCTCAAAGTGCTGCTTAGTTCTTATCTTTATGTATAATCCATAAGTGGTTGTGTCAGACGGACTGCAAGTCGAAGTTAGATCCTAAAGCTAAAGTCTGGTATGATGCATGTTTTCACATTTTCTGATTAATTCTGCTGGTTCTGCCTGGTTCCTGTCAGATAAATGACAGCAAATAAACTCCATGTTGTGTCTGAGGTTGTCTAAATGTGAGGTCGACTTGGGTCGCCTCAACTGCTGGTAATGAACCTGGTTCTGGTCATCAGGTTAAACCACAGTAAGAAAAACTTCATGAGGTAATAACTGAACTCTGGATTCCTCAGAAATATGAACGTACGTCTCACTGACCAAATTAAAATTTAATATTTGCTGTAATAAGTGACATGATTGGATAGTTTATCTAAACTTTCAAGACAGAAACTAGGCTTAAAGTCAGAATTTTAAATTCAAACTATACAAAAGTATTGTCACCCTTTAAACATATTTTATCAGCTCCAGTGATCAACCTGGTATTTATGTGAGACCAGAACAAATTATTATATATTCTATTATTAGTATTCTATAAGCTGTTGCATAATTGTACAGTGGAAGGAAACTGATGAACAGTTTTCATATTTTCAACCAAATCATTCATCAGTCTTCATGTCAGTCCAGGCTGCTGGTAGTTCACTTGTTGAAAGCTGATCAAGCTATAGGGTTAGGGTAGGGGTTACAACAGCGCCCCCTGGAGGAACAACACTATAATAACATCAGAACCTGGTGGATCACCTCCAGGAGGCGCTGTAAGAACTTTAGGGCCCCAAGACAGAAGATCAATTTGTCTTAATCTCTATTTTTCTCACAATAATTAAAATAAAAATTCTCTAAGCAAAATAATTATAATCTTCCAGTAAATGACTAAATAACAGATGATGGATGAAAACAGGCAAATAATTGATATAAGTTTAAATTAATTATTCAGTTATTATCTTAATTATTACATTAACAAACTACAAAGCACCAAAACTCACTGAGTTACACTGAAAACTGATTAAGGTTTATTTTATATTTTAGGACCTTCATCATCTCTGAGCTGCTGAACTCGATGTAGGACGGGAAACAGTGTAACCCGGGTAGGTCAGGGACAGCTTTGTCCCTCATGTCCACTGCAGCTTATAGGACTGGTTCTAAAGCAAATCAGAATCCATAAAATCAGCTGATCTTCACTTTGGTCCCTGACAACAGCTTCAGCAAAACCAATCAGAACCTGGTTTGTTTCAGCAGGATGTAGCTCCATTGTTCCTCTTGAGTTTTTATACCTGCTGCTGCTCATCAGAGGAAAACAGAGACGGTGAGGAAGATTCACTCTGGCCTCCTGGAAACTAAACACCACATGTTGGGTTTTAGTGGAAACAATATGTAGAATAAAAACCTGCAGCACGTTTATCTCACAACTGGGTTCTGCAAAAATGTCAACATTAAATTACAAAGTGCCAAAACTCATTGAAATCTGTCTCCAAGTGTTATTGAACACATTATCAAAGTTTGTTTTTCTGATTTTAATCATTTATTGTTTAAACTTAAAGAAACAGAACTGGATTTAATCTCAGTACCATATAAATGATGGGAAAACCTCAATCAGATCTAAAGAGTAAATTTCTTCATTTTTTTTCCTCTTGTAAAAGTAAATACTCATGTGTCTTTGTACCAATGAGCATTAAATGCATGTACATTACATAAGAGGCACTTTGATTTTCACTGGAGAAAAGAGACCGGGTCTGGATCAGCAGATTAACTTCTACCAGGTCAGGTTTCTTGAGCTGGAGACAATCACACATCCATAAGTGGCTCAATAAAGGTGGAGTGATGGGAGCTTTGAGTCTGCTGGAGGGTTCAGAGGTCAAACTGACTGACTGGGACGTGATGATGATGATGAGCTGTTCAGACCTTCTGTCGTACAGAAGGTCTGAACAGCAGGTCGTTCAGTTTTAGTTCTCACTTCATTTCATTTCAAGAGGAACTGACTGACAGATCAGGATGTTGTTGATTAGTAGTGTTGGTAGGAAACAAGCAGTGCCGTTACCATGGTTACTCAGAAACATGGTGGGGTTTTCAGATGCTTCATTTTGCATGAAGCAGCTTGAATGGACATGCAGCTGAACCAAAGTGACTGCAAATCCAGATTTATCAAGCCATGGTGTTCGGTCACTACTGCAGAAGTTCGGTATGAAAGCTGTGCTCTTTTTTATACACGGGGCCCCTCATTAGTAGAGAAACCAAGAAATCTTCTGACTTGTCCTCTGGTTCCACCTGCAGCTTGAGCTGTGTGACAAACAGAACCTTGTTCAACTCCTGAATGATCTATCAGACGAGGAGTTCAGCAAATTCAAAAAGCATCTGAAGAAGAAGATTAAGAAGATCTGGAATGACAAGAATCCCATCAAAAACAATGTATTGCAGGAAGCAGAGAGGTCAGAGGTCGTTGACCTGATGGTGCAGAAGTACAGGCTGAGTGGAGCTGCGGAGGTCATGGTCACTATTTTGAAGAAGATCAACAGGAAAGACCTGGTGGAGAAACTCAAAGATCTGAGTCCTGAAGCTGCAGCTGAAGGTCAGTCAGATGGAAGAAGTTCATGTCAGATTAAACTATCAGGTCCTTCTGAACCACCTGTAACACGTATTAGTCCAAAACTGATCCAGACCTCAACTTCTAGAGTAAAACCTGGATATCAGAATTAGGATGACTGGTTCAATGTGAAGAAACCCAGAGGTTCATCAGACATGAAGCCATTTTACTGGTTCAGGATCTTTAGACCAGACGACATAAATCAGAAGATTTATGCTCTCATCATCAGTTTGGTTTGGGCCCCATTGAAACAAACCAGTTCTGCTGTGCTTTGTTAAAAAAACATTGTGTTGTTTTACTCATGATGGCTGCCATATTTAACCAGACTTTCCAATGATTTTAATTTTTACGTGTCATTCTTTCAAACTCTGCTGGTAAATTTAATATCTGGCCAAATGAAGGACTTTCTCTGCCTTTCATTCCAACGAATTTGGTAACACATCTTAAAATGTAACACAAAAAAAATGAAGATTTTTTTTGATGATGGTAAAGAAAAAGTGTAAATCAGTCTGAAAATTTTCACCATATTTTCATGTTTTTCCACTATAATGCAGCTCTACATTAAGAAGATGTTTCTTTTATTTTTCTTCCCTGCAGTGAGGAAAGAAAGCGATGAAGCAAAACCTTCAGCTGGAATCACAGAGGACAATGTCTGCTCCATCAAAGATGTTGTGAGGAAGACAGAGGAGGAAGTCTCTCTGTCCCCTAAACCTTCTGCTCCAGGTGAGAAAAAGAACTGAGTAGAAATGGTCCCAGAAACTAAGGCCCTGTCCTGATACTCGCACTCCCACTTCGTTCTGCCTTGGGTCCTTCAAATGTGCCTTCATTTGAAGAGTTTGAGTACGTAGTGCGTCCCACATTCTCCACATCCACCCTTCGACCCGCCCATTTTGGGTCCTATTACACGAAGCCCGCATTCAGACGGACTTTGGCCAAGTGTATCACCCACAATTCATTGCTGCATGTGACATTTTGAGTTAAAAGATGGATTTAGGGCAATGTTTTGTTGTTTTTCCAGTCTTTATAGAAAAGTCAAAGATAATAGCATGACAAGGCAAGCATTAGTAATAAAAAAGTTGATATGATAAACTGAGCAGCAAAGAGAAGAAATAAAAAAGGAATCATTACAAACTGTGAGGAAAGTAAAACAAAATGTCACAAATGCAAGACAAATTTCAAATCTTAAATTAAGAAATAAGATATTGAGATATAAGATAGTTATTTCCTTATCTATCTAAAGTTAGACTCACTTCTGACTTTTTGGTCCAAATGAGGCAGGAAAACATCCTGTTCAGGTCAAAGTACCTGGAACATTACTATCACCCATTTCTTGACTAAAACCACACAATGAGAGGAACAAAGAGAATGAATCCTCTTTGTCCTGTGAACCTGCTGCTCCTGGTGAGAAACAGAAATTAGTAGAAATGGTCACAGAGACTAAATGTGTCTGACTGTACAGACTTGGGTCGGTCCAATCCTCTCTTTTCCTCCCTTGTTCTGCCCTGCATGATGTGCATTCATGTTGAAGGTTTGAGTGTGTAGATCAGTGGTGCCCAAAGTGGGTCCTGGAAGGCCGGCCTCCTGCTTGTTTTAGTTCTCTCCCTGGTTTAGCACACCTGCATAAGATGATGGCTCCATGGAGGCCTAAGAAGAACCAGGGAGAGAACTAAAATATGCAGGCCCTCCAGAAACCACTTTGGGAACCCCTGGCATAGAGTCCAGATTCTTCACATCTGGGCTTCGTCCAACCTATTTCCACCCTTAAGCTGAGTCTGCATTGATGCCGACTGTGCGGAAGTGTAATAGAGGAAATCCCATCTCATTTTTTTTGGGGGGGGACCAAAAACAGGGAAATTTCTTAAATGCAATTTGGGGGCAAAGTTACAGAGAAATGTAACGTAGAATGTGGTTTAAAAAGTGTTTGATGTGTTCAAGCTGCAGGACCAAACAGAACTAGTTAGTGGTAATGCACATCAAACACGTTTTTCTCAGTTAATAAACCGTTGAGATCCATTAAAGTCAAACTAAATTTCAAATGTTTGGTTTGAATTTGGCTTGGTGTCTATTTTCTGCTACACCTTTACAAAATTTTAAGGATCTAAATAAAACGTTTTCATGATTAACTTCATTTAATAAAACACATAGCATACAAGTTATGTGTTATTTAAATTTTAACTTGTTAAGTTGCCGTAAAGCGCAGAGCACCAGAGTTTAGTCAAAACAAATTCAGATTTTATTTTGTGGTTTTGAAGGCTCTATATTGAAGATGGAAAGAAATACATACTTTCTTTTTTTATTGTTAGCTGCTCTGTAATATCACCCCTCTGCTCTCGACTCACTTACAGGCTAGTGCTAACGCTCAGCTTCTGCCTCCCGTTTCAAACACCTCTTAATATAAAAATTAAAGAGCTAAATATTGTTGAGATTTTTGCTACCATGATTCAGCCAAAGTAATAAAATAACAAACTGCAGTCTGATTTTTATTAAGGTGTTTCTTCCGATTGAGCAGTGAAAGTAAATACTATGTCTACATATCTTTTGCTTTAAGTATTTTCTTATTGTAGGTTTTTGTGTTTGTGCTGCAGAGCCACAGCTAACAGCTAGCTCCTCACTCCAGCGGCTTTAAAAACGTATCCTTATATTTTTTCTTAGAACAATGGTGAATTTATTTTGTTCTTTGTTTCTTTTGCCTTTTCAAATTGATATTGTTTAAATATAAAGGTTTCTTTCATGACTTTTTTTGGGACGAACAATTCTAGACTTTTCCAAGATTGGGGGTCCGGACCCCCCAATACCCCAGGATTTCTGCCCATGTTGAAAAGTATTACCTACAATTTATCACTGCATGTTAAAAGGTGGTGCATGATTTTTGTCTTAATTAAAAATTAAAAGAAAATAGTATGACAAGAAATGCATGAGTAACAAAAAATATGATTGAGCAGAAAAAAAAAAAAAAAAAGAATTACCAGAAACTGAGGAAAATGAAACGGAAAATTTTACAAATGCAAGAGGAATTTTAAATCCTTAATTAAGCTGTTATTGGTACAAAGATTGGGCTACTTTTTGTTGTTGCAATATTTAAGCATTTGCTTAAATAAAATAAAGGTACACTTAGAAAATTTTTTGAAAATGGAGGTAAATTTTAGAAAGTGTCATTTTTAAATAAAAATGTAACCAGAGGATTAAATTGTTAATATAACAACTGGACTCTTCATCCCCCGTTGGAAGACCACAGGGGATGGTCTTATTAATAAATATAAAATTTATTATATTGAAACTTGAAGATGGAAAAGATTTCTTCTACAAGATCCACTTCTGAAAATCTTTTTAAAAACATTAATGATGTTGCAATTGAATAAAAGTTTATTGTCTCAAAATCTCAGTCACAAAACGCAGAAAGATTTTTTTGTGGGAATGGAATGAAAAGCTATTTGGTTATTATTTTCTTTAGAGATATCAAGAGTTCTTGACGAACTACAGTCATTCATAACAAAACAAATTTGTACAGCAAGCAAAAACATATTTTCTTCACTTTAATTTTCTGTTGGAAGATTTGACAGAAAACTTAAAACCTCCAGGTTAAAAGAGCCCAAAATTTAAAGATCATTATGTTCAGGAATGAAAGAGGTTCAGGAGAGCAAAATCACAGGCAGGTTATTTCCTATCAACAATAAATGCCATTAAATAAATTAATAAAATCTGTATTTGGTAATATTAACATATCAAGTGGTTGTGTCAACATGTGGAGAAACATCAACATTTTAAGGTTCTTGGTTCTGACAATTAAAAAAAATATCTACATTATGCTGTTTAGACTGGGTTACCTTTAGGGTTGTAGAGTTTTTGGACCCTTTTAAAATCTGCTGAGTTCTCCAGTTTGGTCCCAGACAGCAGCTTCAGTGAAAACAATCAGGACTTGGTTTGTTTCAACATGATGAAACTCTGTCAGTCCAGATTCATCCCCCCTTTTGTGTCTTTATTTCTGCTGCTGCTTATCATCACTCAGAGGAAGACGGCAGAGACGGTGAGGACAACTGGTCACCTGCAAACCAAATACCTGAGCAGGAGCCCAGACGCATTTCTGGAGGAGCTTTAATCAGCTGATGGTAGTAGTAGCAGCAACACAATACTGTCCTACGGCAACAAACAGGATTTAAAGATGTTTTCATTTCAGCCTGAAGGAAATCTGATCCTAAAATGACTGATGATCCTTAACGGGAACATATAAACATTTGGTAAGTTGGTGTTTATTTCAGATTTTCTGCAAGGATCAAGTCAAGTTTCATAAAAACATCTTTT